AGAGAGAGAGAGAGAGAGAGAGAGAGAGAGAGAGAGAGAGAGAGAGAGAGAGAGAGAGAGAGAGAGAGAGAGAGAGAGAGAGAGAGAGAGCCTGGTGACATTTGGATCCAGACTCGACATTGGACTTCCGACATTTTGAAGAGGGATTATTTGGGACTTGTAACGAGACTTGGTGTTGACAACTTTTCCATCTCCCCCTTCCTCTTCTTCGTCTGATCCCCTCCTCTTCGTCTGTGTATGTCTGGACCTGGCGCCTCCGTCCTGTGTATAACGCCAGGCCCCTTCACAACTTGTGATGAGCATGATGTATGTTTGGTCTGCGTTGCAACATTGATTGGGCTAGTCATTGGTATTCTAGCATTCTGCTGCGCTGTCTTGCACTACGTGGTAGAGGTCAGTCCCGGTCAGGTCAGGACTTGTATCTAAAGTCTTCCCTGCGCTATAAGGCACCATTTTGTATGTATCGGAATGCACATTGCATGTCAAGATTCCACTTGCACTGCATTGTCCATTCAGTCCTTTTTATCACATTGCAGATCCTCGGTTTATATGTACATCGCCCATTTGGGCATGTAACATTGACAAAGGAGAACCTGGAGAAGGACAAGCTGCTGACAAAAGACCAGACGTGACACTTGTTTACAAAAGGAGACAGCAATCAGCCACTTCTGTCCCATCTCACGCTCTTCCCTCTGAACTGGAGTTTCAGGCTTTGGTTGCGAGCGTGCAGCATGACAACTCGGAAACGAGCACCGTGGGAAGGAAGAAGAAGGTGGTGGAAGCAACAGCAGCAGCAACAAAACCAAAGATGGGGTGGGGTAGACCTCCCAAGGAACGATCTGCGACAGCCTGTCATGCGCCCGATCTGCCCCCTTGGCGGGAACAAACAAAACGGCGGGTGAAGAAGAACTGACCTGTGATTGATGATGACTCGATGTTGGAGGAGGATGGCAGCAGCGGCGGTGCTGGCCGTGAATCAGACGAAGATTGGCGCTAGATCAACCTAGATGCAGACCGGGTCATTTGTGCAGGGGGGGGGGGGGGGGGGGGGGGGGGGGGGGGAGGGGGAGGGAGAGAGAGAGAGAGAGAGAGAGAGAGAGAGAGAGAGAGAGAGAGAGAGAGAGAGAGAGAGAGAGAGAGAGAGAGAGCACCTTTTTGGTGGGTTATCTGTTGCAGGTGCTTGAGAAACATTGAAAAGGGTCTGTATGACTCCTCATACTCAGTGGTGCATGTGTCAGGGGGGTGTCCTGAATGTGTCCAGGGTGTGTTATGTGCTGTGCGTGTTGTCTAAACTGTGCTGTGTGTGCTGTCTGCTGTGTCTGCCAAGAATGCTGTATGTGCTGTGTATGCTGTGGGTGTGATGTGTGATCTGTGTGGCGTGCCGTGTGCGCTGTGTGTGCATTGTGCTGTGTCCACCTGTGCTTGCTCTTTGTCCCCCTCGCTGAACCCATCCTCCCTACAGAACCCCTCAGGCAGGGCGCAGAACGGTCGTAAGGCCCAAAAAAAATGAAATAAAAAATTACCGTGTTTTTTCCTCACGCTCGGTTGACCGGGGCGCCGGACCAGCCCGGGAACCACGCCCGGCTTCCTAGCATTGCACAAATTTTATTACTTTTTCATTCACGTGTATTTAATATTGTAGTGTCACCTCTACTTGGTATTTTCACCGGTGAAAACACACACACACACACAGCTGCTAGCCTCTCCCACGAAAATTGTGATCCCTTGTCTTGTGCTCATCCCCCCCACCCCCTGATTACTTGCCCAGCATGCCGTTGTGGCCTTGATCTGCCATGCTTAAATAACTGTGCACGTCATTCTTCCATACTGATGACATGTCAGCAACATGCCATGTGTCGTCAGTGCTTCCAGGAAGCAGTCATAGAAAGTATGTGTCTTTACTGCGTGGACTATCCCCGGTGCCATCATCTACCACATCCTCTCCTAGCATGTCCCACATGCGGTGTTGGTCATACACCTATGGCAACCGCAGAGGGTTCTTCCTCTTCCTTGCCAGACATGCGACACACACAGCAGCCCGAGGAGGAAAATGGGCCTCTATATGAACCAGCTTCAGAGCGGGGTACTGATCGCTTCTCACCATCAAGGCGAGCTGTTGTGGACCAAATCCTGCAGCAGCTGAACGCCCTTGCTTTGGACCGACCCTCCCTGTCGTCGTCTGCCCATACAGAAGGAATAAATACTGAGGAAACCCAAGAAACATGCTCTATGCCGCTATGTGATGACCCGCCGGAGATTCAACTAGCGTGTGGTTCACATGCTTTGTGCCGTGAGGATTATGAAGGAATAGTCCATGCGAGTTTCTGCTTTCATACCTACGACGACAGTCAGCACTGTACTCATGTACGGCACCCTGACATGTCATGTCCAATTTGTAGACAGGGGCTAGAACGGCAGGGCCTCTATAATTGTGGTCGACGTGCCTCCGTGTTCCTAGCATGTCGGAGCCACGTTGCCTGTGACATCTGTCTGCGCCGTGCCATTCGATGCAGCAACTGTGACTGCGAAAACTGGATGCGGTGCTTCCACAGTCCACACCCGAACCGGTCCTGTCCGGTCTGTAGGGATGGTCACTTACCATAGGCAATAACTGATCCTTGACTCAAAATCTTGTGCAACCCAAAGACCAATGAAACTCATGTGCTATTCCAGCGGTGAGTGTTTAGAATTCTTAGAAGCCCATCATATACCTCTCGCCTGCCCTACCCTTGCACTCTGCTTTCCCCCTACCTCACGTCCTGACAAACTTACCTCCTGTCCCTTTCCCTCCGCCCTCTCCTTATGTGCAACTAGGAAATACATACGGATGAGCATCAGTAAGAGTACAGA